GTCATACTCTAATGACGCTTCCGAGTTGATGAGGCTTACTTTCTAACATTTTAGTACCTGAGACACTCTCAGGTGCAGTAAGGATAGTTTGCTTCATTGCCGCCAACACGGTAGTGGTGACGCTTTTATGTGCCAGAACCGGGTTGCATGTTCGGAGCATTTCCTCGCAACAATAGTCGCCTACTTTCGCTGGTTGTTTCACTTGGATCTAGCTCGTTAAATGTAGCCAACATTGCCAATCTGTATCTTTAATGGATGCGCCAACTCGAGCCCCTTTTGGCTGGATAGCTTATAAAAGCTGGGCATACATTTGTGCACAGAAACTGATCGATTGTTGCACATCCAACTGCGCGATGAACATCTATTATGCACGCTTCGTGCAGGTCACGCCGGCGGTTAATGATGCAACCGGAGGATCCGAACCAATGACGATCCTCAATAGGTTGAAAGAGCCTAGTAGTGCTTTCTGGATTGGTAACTGGCCTATTTGGCATGTGAGCTGCCAGGACGAATCAATAAGAGCTCAGCAATGATTCTTCTACTCATCAGTAGCACCAAAATGAATTAGGCACCTGAGCATTCTGTCGATGAGTCCAAGTTGTTGTATCGCACATACTCAGTACGAACAGAAGCTTAATGAGTGTCTGATCATTAACGACGCACAACCAACGCCGTAACACCTCCCTCGCACAAAATGTCATGTGACATCTGTCTTGGGTGCAGCTGCATTCTGATGATGGTCTCCACACCCGATCAGTCCATCCCCGTGGCTACAAGTTTGTTCCATTTTGTGGCCTCTGGTCAATGCTCATTAGGTCCCTCCTGGGTACCCAAGTGAGTGGCTCACCGGGTGGAGAACTTCTGTTCTCTCTAAGCGCTCAAGCTCTTGGTCAACCATTGGTGTTTCTGTGTATCGAACGAAACACTGGAACGGCATCTGGCTTAAGGAACAGTGAAGCTTGTACCTTCGTCTTGTGCTTCATTCTGGGCAGCTTGTTCTTACAATTGGCTGGGTATGTAGTTGCACAGACATGCAGACCATCCTATTTTGGTTGGCAGACGATTTCTCCGTCTAGCGACAAGGGGCCTCCTGATGGGCCCTGACACCTGCAGAATGCAGAAGCTTCTGATTTCACACGTTATGATTCAGATTCTGGCCTCCATTAGCTGGGTGGTGGAGCTGGAGTTCACTGCTGGTATTGGAGTTTCCCCTTTTGGTGTCTAATCCCAATTTGAGTGGCTTGTTACATACATCTACAGTGTTCTATGATGTCAAATTTGTTTCCAGTTCTTATTCTGCCAGAATTTTTAACTCCTGTGCCAGCAAAATTGTCAATTGCCTATGTGATGCTTCAAATATTGGCTGTTGGAGTTAAAGGAGTGTCTGTATTTACTCGGAAGGTATAGTTGTAACTGGAGCGACAGTATTCTTGTCAGCTTCTCGATCATTCTCAGCTGTGCTTCCTCAAACTGTTGCTGCTTTTGTAGCAGAATAGCTTTCAGGCCTTCTGCTGGGATAGACATCTTGATTAAGTTTACCTTCCGTCGCCAGAATCTATTGTATCGTCCCACCTTCTCAACCTCTGACGAAGGGGCTTGCGAGAATTATCTACTGCCCCCGCCTCCTCCACTCCTTGAGCACGACTGACCCACCACGCTCCTTTCTTAGCACACAAGCTACGTTTTAGTTATCACCTAATAATCCGTCTGGTACCAGCAAAAAATAGCTGCTACGCACTGAGAAATTGTTAAATGTATTCGTATAGTGAGAAACCCAGAGTCCCTGATATGCGGCGCAGAAAATATCCTTGCAACCTCTGGCTCGTAATTCCGTCAAACCATTCGCATCTAGTGTATTAAGTAATAGAAAGGCTTGTATCCAAAGTGCGTATGCGAATACAGCCCCCGAAAGTAGAACGGCGAGCGGGGTTGACTAGCTCACATTGTCGGCCAGTGACAAAATCTAATACCCAAAAGTCTGCAGCAGATAAATGTAAATGTAGCTAACAAAAGACCCAATGGGCCCTTGAATGTGTACACATAATGGCATTCTGAGTAGATACAGTGGAGATGCTGATGAGAGGACGCATTATGAAGCATGTTTTGGGTGAATGTATTGCGACACGCAGTCTCAATGCGGACGACGATTCGCATTGAAGTGAATCTTGGTAAGATGGATCACTGGTACTACAAATGATGAAGGAGATGGTCAGTGGGTGCTGCTCCCCCAAAACACCACACTCCAGGATCGAGTTCGGAATTGTTTGACCTGATCAGATGGATATAGCAGGTCTCAAGCTCGGGACCATTGGAAGGTTAACCGAAAACTCCTACGCCTAAGCCATCGGACTTCCACGATAAGCACGGTCCACACTGAACCTGTGCACTGCAATTCATTCACACGACGAGTACCACAAAACGACCACTCCATCCAGTCATTAACCGTTGCGCCAAGCTTTTTTCCGCGCCTCTCGGTGGCTTAGGGACAGAGACTCCAGCAAGCATCTCAAAGGCCTTGGGTTCTAGTACCTGCCATCTGTACTTGAGGAGATCACACGAGTTTAAGACAGATCGTAGATTGACGTGTTTTCGGGCAGGCAATGCCCAACACACAGTAATACAGTTGCATAATGACTGCATCTCTCCTGGCTTCACACCTTCGTGAAGCGCAGTCTGTCACTTTGCACACCTGCTCAAGTGCGTCATTTTTACTTGAGTTCGTAACATTTTAGTGATTTCCAATATTTTACTAACCTCGTCGTGTAAATCCTTACCAACTATCCTGCTATCCACTTGGGTAATCCGTAACCAGTTTTGGATTATTTACTGAAGTTGTTTGCCTGTATCAGGAACACCACACACACACCAATGGCCTCATGGCAGAATGTCAGATGCAGCCGCAGTACTCGATAAACATGTATCATTCACTAATCAGCATTGCTCTCTGTCGGTAATGTATTAGGCACTCTTTGGGTTCATTGTATACTTTTTTAATAAACGTGCATCTCACAAACATCGTGTCCTTTTATTTTTCCTGGTAACGGTACTAGACGGTATTTGGGTGTCATACAGTAAATTATTTTAATACTCTGCTAGATTTTATCCAACACCACTATCGAATAATCTAAAAGGGGCTATTTTATATTTTGAGCATATTCCTTGTCTGGTTTAATCTCTTTCAGAAGGTTCATCGCAGCTAGGCTCGTCAGACAGACACCACAAATCCAGAAATGTGCTTGAAGGTCGTCACGTCTTATTGCGATTCGTCTATGGCGCTCACCCGTCAAATGCTGCCGGATCCGAACCTATGACCTCAATCATACGAGCCAGCGATTTATGCCAATGAGTCATGGGGACGGCGGTGGACTGCCATGACTTGTAGCTAATTGCGATTTATCGCGACTCATTCCCCACTGTCATGCATGCTTTGAGGTTGCAGAGGACAGGACTGGCTCGCTGAGTTACGACTTTCTTTGCAAGCCGCCACCACTAGAGGTGGAAGGTAACCTGCTAAGGCGATTACTGTTTTCATGTTTGTCCGCTCGTTCTGAAGCGAAAACACAGTTAACATGGAATAATCTGTCTTGTAACAGTGAAAGCACACTCACTTCTAATTTACAGTTGGCTAATCAAAGCTCCGTGGTTATCCCATGGAAATTTCACCTCCGTCCTGGCTTGGGCATCGTGGCCCGCTAACTAAATCCACACTTCTGCTATACTATCGTGTTTCCTCAGGCAAACAGCTTTCTCTGATTGTCTACTGCGTCTCCGTGTCTACAGGACTCAAAATCTTTGATGAAGCATATCGATGGCAACGCTTACAATCCAAACCTTCTTTGCGTATTTCATAATGAGATACGCCACATGATAGGTGGGAAAAAGGAGTGAAATGTACCGAACTCAGGGTGCAGATTGAAACATAAGTAATCAAGGCATGTTCACCGGTTCCCAGCGCAAACTAGTTTTCTGAAAAGACGATACTAGGTGCAGAGCGAAAGTAACGACCTCTAAAACGCGTCCCCTCTACAAATCGATAACGCGCGTAACGAGCTAACGAAATGTAACATAACTGAGCAGTGGAATGGGCACATCAGCATTCGAATGGGTTAACGAAATCTATCGATGGGAAATAGTATCTAGTAAAGCAAGTAATAATTAGATATGTGGGACGGAGAGATGGAGTTAGGTACGCAACGACGACAGACTTGAAATTGGGAAATTCAGATACAAGAGCCGGAAAACTATATGTGAATTCCGCTCACCGATTTTTTGCAAAGTAAAGTGAAGTCGTTAAAAACAATAAAATGGAGGTAAGAAGGTAAGAATAAATTTATTAAAAATGAGCTTACCATTTTGTCATTCTCGTCACGACGTTCTGACTGCCAAGCTGTATTGTACCAAAGCGTAGTTTGGTCATCACAAACAAATGTGTGCTATCCAAGTTATCCCACAATCACCTCCAAACGATTACGACGTTAACATAGAAATAGAACGGCAATGTACTACCAGAGTACATGATAAAGTGGAGACAGAGTGAACTCGTTTCAGTTTTATTTTATATTTGATGCCATTTCTACTCCAATTGCATTACAAGAGAACTACCCTTCAACTGAACCACGGTTTGTCTTGAAACAATTCTCTAAACTGTTGGACTTTAAAAATGCATTTAAGGTTACAAGCTTTTTCTGTAAGTGCTGCGAGTGGTTCCGATTCATGAGTCAAGTGATATGGTTTACCGTGCTTGTCTACGTTATTATTGATCTGTTTTCTTTTTGATGAAAACCCCTTAGCACCAGAGGAATATTTGGCATCGAGATATAAAAGCAGACAACATCCTGTTTGCAAAGCGGCTTCCAGATGTTCCCAAGGCATCGCGCACTCTACCATCCTCTTCCACACCGTCCACCCCAGAAAGAAACCGAACCAGTCGACGTCGAGCAGAGACCAAAGCAGCATTTAGACTCATTGGCTGCAAGCAACACATCCTTAAGTGGCTTCAGATGCGAACACATGAAGTACAGAATGGCAGACCACCGACCTTATATTCTGATCGATCAGCCAGCTACGATAGGTCTCGTAACTCCGCCGGATATAAAGCTAGCATATTCCGGTCTCCAGGAAGAAAGCGGAAAAAATCTAGCAAAGATTATACACGTATCTACAACAACAGCAAAGGAAATACTGGAACAAATTCCAGTCATGATGCAAGTACGTCATTATTTGATATATTATTTGTAACATGCAGCGCACCCGCTGCAAATTCCATAGATGTATTTCAACTCACTTAGTGTTTTGGCAGCATGAACTCGTAAAGTTTACTAATCTTTGGCTACGAAAAAGCGGTTGGTAGTGAGTGAAGTTTTTCCTCTAGTATGCATGAGTTCCTACTGGTTACTGTTTCAACCGCTCGGGACATGAATCTATTCCTTGCGATAACATTTGGTTGCACTCTTGAAATTAGCACAATATTATGCAGTGAAGTAATCCTTTAACCATTCCCATCCATGGGATGCCATTTAAAAGGAAGATTTTTGTTATGGCGCGGTATCTTACTATGCTATCTACTCACAGTGAAAGTGATAACAAGAATAGAAGTCGATGCCGATACCCGATGTTCTCCGGTAATTACGTTCATCCCGACACGATTCTTATCACAACAGTTTGCATTACATTATTTGATTTGTGAAGTGCCATTAGTAGGTATGAATAGAGATAAGTAGCCTGAACCCGTTTCGCGATTCGCGTCGAATTATACCGCCGCTCTTTCCAACACTGAAATCATCCCAGAGAAAAAGCTTGATCCGTCTTCGCTTTCTGATATTTTCTACAAAATAAAGTTGTATTATTTTTTCTTAACTGCGCATCTCTCCATGTCTGAGTAAGTTGAACAGGGAAAACCATTGGTGAAATACCTTGATATGAGCTGAACTCCCACCCGATCCTTATGCTCACTATCAGTAGTGAATGAACCCACGGTCAGTGATGCATATTAGTGCATAAGCTAGTTAGAATGGTACTTGCGTGAGGAAATTCCTGTAAAACTTTTGGACAACAAGTTTGCACCCTGCTTGAATCGCCTATCCGGTGACGATGCAGCTTCGAGCACCGGACAAGCTGGTGCTGGCATTGCTCTGAGTCCCGGCGCTGAAGCTGCTCTGGTTGATTTGATTCCAAGCAGTAGCCGGATACGTGCGGTCCGATTGGCTAGCTCGTTCAAAGCTTCGAAGTCGCGCGAGCCTAATAAGTGTCTATATATCATCGCTGCCTACGCGCCCACAAACTGTAGCGATGATTCGGTAAAGGAGGAGTTCTACCGTCAACTGACCCAGCTCCTTCGCCACAGAAGAAGCACGGACACTGTTGTACTTGCGGGGGATCTGAACGCACAAGTTGGAAAGTTGTCCACTGATGAGTTGCATCTGGGCGGAAAACGTGGTGTAAGCTCCCGTAATGATAACGGTGGGCAGTTACTTCATTTGTGTGAAGATGCCCGTTTATTTCTTGTTAGCACAAACTTCCGACACAGCACCCGCCAGAGGATGACTTGACGCCCACCAGCCTCGAACCAGGCTTGGACGCAGATCGGTCACATAGCTATCAGTTATCGCTGGAGAGGCTGCATCTAGAACTGTCGCTCGATTTGGAGCACATGTGTGGACACCGATCTTGCACTTGTATGTGTTGACCTGCGGATGAATTTTGGAGGACGCCCACGACGACGCTGTGAGTGCCTTGACACCAGCCAACTGGCGGAGCCAGCTGTTCTGAATGCGTATCGAAGTACGCTGACATGCGAGTTGAGTAAGCGCTCACTAGAGGCAATTGATGGTCCCTGGTCACATGTTCACCAGACCTTACTAGCAGCAGGCAAATCCTCATGTGGTACGTCTAATAGCCTACATGGTCATTGGGTCTCTTCGCGATCTCTGGAACTTATCGACGCTCGTCGGCATATCCCGGCTGGAAGCGAACACAATGAAACTCACAAAGAGCTCCGGGCAAAACTCCGTGCTAGCCTGAAGAGAGACCGCGAATCTTGGTGGTCCCATCGTGCGTCAGAGATGGAAGTGGCTGCTACCCTTGGCAACCATCGTAAGTTATTACGTCTGATACGGGAAACGCACAGCAGGCGACTTGGTGTTAGTGAAACTATACGTGACGTGAGTGGACAGCCTATCCACAAATTGTCTAAATGCTTAGAACCTTGGGCTGAGCATTTTGAAAAGTAATTTAATCGACTAGAATTGTTTGATTCTTCGCCGGCCAGTGATCGCCCCGCTCCCTGGGCTGTCCATTTGTACCCACTCTGTCGCTCAGAAATCGAACGTGAGATCGGACTGTTGAAGTTGAACAAAGCCGCGGGACCAGATGATCTTCCTCCAGCCCCATTCAATTTCGGAGGCTCTGCTCGTGTGGATGATTTACTTGGATTACTATTGAAACTGTGGGCGCAGGAGACTGTCCCAACCGACCGGAGCCGCTCCTTTCTTGTTCCCATCTTCAAAGGAGGCTCGTCTTCGGAATGCAGCAACCATAGAGGAATCAGTCTGATCTCCATCGCCTCCAAATTACTTGCTTCCATAATCCTTCACAGACTGACTGGCGCTCGTGAAAGCCAGATTCGTGAGGATCAAGCCGGCTTTCGTCCGCGTTGTGGCTGCATCGACCACATCTTCACCTTGCGTCAGTTGTTGGAGCACCGTCACATATATTGGCGGCCCACTGTAGTCGTGTTTCTCGACATCAAAGGTGCCTCCGATTCGGCTGATCGATGTGCCTTTTGGAATTGTCTACTCAGGAAAGGTGTGCCCGTAAAATATATAAATATCATCTGAGCATTATACGCGCGTACCACGGGTAGAGTGAGGGCTTACGGCAAAGCTGTCGCCACCATTCAATATCTCCAGCGGCGTAAGACAAGGATGCCCGCTGTCACCTTTCCTCTTCAACTTCGCTATTGCCGAAGTCGTGGAGATTGCATTTATAGGACATAACTTAGAAGGTGTTAAGCTACTCCCAGTAGAACGACTTCTTGACTTGGAGTATGCAGACGACATTGCCCTCATCTGTGACATCTCCCAGACGGGCCAATCCGCGCTGGACAGATTAGCACTGGCTGTCAGCAGCTTCGGGCTTTGCTTTGTACCATCGAAATGCAAAGCGTTCCTCCAAGAATGGCATGGATCGCCTCCTGCGCTGTCCCTTGGTGTGGATCAACTAGAAGTCGTTCGAAAATTCAACTACCTGGGAAGTGGTATCAGCGCCCTTGGGATCGAAGACGAGATCATGAACCGTATAGCAAAAGCTCCAATTGCTTTCGCTAGCCTTCGCCATCTATGGTGGCGGCGCGACTTTACTCTTGCCCTGAAGAGTAGAGTGTACAATGCAGCCGTACGTTCGACCCTACTGTACGGTTGTGGAATGTGACGCCTTAGATCAGCGGACCTGAAGAGGCTAGTTACGTTCGACCACCGGTGTCTTCGCAGTTTGACTCACATCTGGTGGGACCGCCGCGTGAGTAACGAGCATGTTCGACTCCTTGTTTAAGGCACGGAAAATGGAACTGAACCGCTCAGCACCGTCATTTCACGCACCAGGCTCCGATGGCTGGGCCACGTGTTACGCATGCCAGCCCACCGACTTCCACGACGTGCGTTGTTTGCTTACCGGAGATGTGGATGGAAAAAGAGGAGGGGTGGCCAAGCAATGACTTGGTCCAGAGGAATGAAGGCCCTCACTTCTGAGCTGGCCTCAGTTGGAGCGTCACGGCTCCCTGGTTGTGGTCCAAAAGACGGTGAACACGTTTGGCTGGATACTCTTGCTGACATGGCAAGGAGCCGACCTCAGTGGCGTTCGTGCTGTGAGTTTCTTTGTCCCTCCCCATCCCTTTAGGCTCACCTCCAACCACGATCTCATTCCATAGGGTAAAACATAATAATTGTCCTTTTTGCCTAGTAGCTGGCTGGTAGCATACCGGAACGATGCCTATCCGTTGCTGGCAGCTTAACTGGCATGCAACAGTTGTAGTTATTTTCCTTTTCCTTTATGTCTTGCGGCACAGTAGCGGAGGTGTTCCCCACCTCTAGCTGACGTGATCTAATGGAAAATAAAATAATTACCCTGCTTGAATCGGCTTGGAACTAAATCATCTTACCATTCTCAAACAACCGTGGAATCAGTAACGCTTAACGCTCATACGTTAGCGAAGCTACAACAGTAACTACTTCGGCCCGACAGCTAACAAGCTCCGATTTACTGTGACGGGGGTACAATATGACGGATCCCCAGTGCACAGCGTATTTAGAGGTTAAGCGAAATTATGGGATTGGCTAGTCACACGGGTCGGTCAATCTGTTTTCAGCATTCAACAGATTGGTCATAGATGCACTAGTGCTTATGAAAGAGCAAATAAAAAAGTGAAACCTCAGTTAGTTGGCCAATCAAGAGACTGGACCAAAGTCGTCAACATAGAGACCTGGATCCATAAGGATTATATGCTGAATTTACAAGCAACGAAAAAGAAAATGATGACCTTAGTGTGATTGTCAGGACGTAGGGTTGGTCAACTTCTGAGATTTTACTGTAACCATAACGGGTGTGAAATTTGATGTAAGGGTTCGTGGCGGTTTCTTTGGAGAGGTGCCTTGAACGGTGCGTACAATGAGGGTAACCTCATACCAATTAACAAGAGAAATAACCCGTTATCGAGGAATATGTCTAGAGTATCACGGGATTTGTTGAGAAGTTAACATGCCAACGCAAGAAACATCATAAAGGCAGCTTGGAAAATGAGTTCACAGGTTGAATCTGGGCATGATGTCAGGAAAGGAACAAGAAAAACAAGTTTGGGATGAGTTGTTCACAGGCCATAGTGCCAATTTGTTTCTTACTGCATCAACATATAAGATACCAGACGTGCTGCATACCAATCACTAACAGCCATAACGGCTTAGTACGATGCAGCCTTTTTCCCCAGATGTAAGAATTCACCAGTTATAAGCTAGATTCATCAATAAACAACAAGTATGTTTGATGGGAGCGATGTGAACTTACGCTTTGACGGTAGTACCATAGTTGGTCCGGACACGCCTGAGGGTAATCCATTCGTATCCAACCACTTGCAGAGCCGCGTAGGAGGTAGACTTATTGAGGAGACAGCCGAATCAGAGCATCAAGACATTCATAAGCATTCCTTCGAGCTTCACCCA